CGCCGTGTCCAGCCCCTTCAGCTCCTCCATCCCTCGGATCACCCGCGTCCCGTCCGACAGCCTCCGCCTCCTCTCCGGGTCTGTCACGTTGAGCCACTCCTCCTTGGCTGTCGTCGTGATCCCGTAGTTGCTCGTCGTGAACGCTTCCTCCGCGTCCTTGCCCTTGCAGTGCTCCTCCTCTATCGCCTTCATCAGCTCCGTCTGAGGTAGCCCGATCCGCTCCATCAGCCCCCCGTAGTACTCCTCGATCTTCCCGTACACGGCCTCGCGTACCTCCGCAAACTTGCTGTTGTGCGACGTCGGACCGTCTCCTCCCGCCCGCCCTCCTGCCTCCGCCGGCCTCCTCAGCGCCTCCTCGAGCCTCCTCCCTATCGCCGTCTGCCATAGAGCCGATAGAGCGCTCTCCGTCATCCCCTGTAGCCCCGCAAGAAGACTTGCCGCGCTCCCGCCGGGGATGCACTCCGCCATGACTCGGAGGATGTTGAGGTCGCCGAGGCTGCTGGCCTTGCGCTCGAGCTCCCACTCTCTTGCGACTCTCACCTCGTAGTCGTCGTACGAGAGCTTGTCAGGGCCTGCGTGCGGCATGAGGGCCGACGCGTCGACGCCGAGAGCCATGCCGAGGTTCTTGAGAATCGGTTTGTATTCCTCGGAGTCTCGAGGGGTCTGAAAGAGCTTCTTGAGGTCAGAGATGATGTCGTCGGGTATGGTCCAGCTGGTCGTCTGCTGGACACTAGCTGGTGGATCAGCCGTGGGATGGCTGATTTGAGATTTGATCTCGATGTCTGTCTTGTTTGACGGCTGAGTCGTAGGGCTGGAGATGCTTGACGGGATGGTCTCTACGTCTCCTTGAGGGGCTGGGGGATCTTTGACAGTCTGCTTTCTCAGCTCGGCCTCGAGCTCTGAGATCCTTCTTGTCGCTTCTTCCAACCTCTGCTGGAGTAGCGAGTCATCACGACCGTCCTCGGGCTTCACTTTGGACGAGAAGCAGGGGAAGCAACTCATGTCCCTTTCTCAGCCCAGGGAGAAACCTGCTACAGGAGCTTGCATCAGCCGGCTTCAGATATCCTCTGTCCTCCACCTCCCTCTCCCTCCCTCTTTTTATGTCTCTCTATCTTGGATCCTCTGTTCGTGGTTCGGTTTACAGCACAACGATCTGATTACAGAGCAGCACAGCCTTGTGTTGTACACCTGAGGCTTTCTGTCTATACACTCTGATCCTACTGCCTGCAACTGCAACTCCAAGAGCGTATCAGTCGCCTGCTTTTCAAGAGCTTATCAAGTATTCACCTCAACAAATGCCGTCTATTCTTGATGATAAGACCTATGACTCATACTGACTTCCCCTCTCTTGCTCACTTATCCATGCATGTCTTATTCTCTCTCGAGTTTCTGCCCTGCTTCCGACTCTGCCTCCTTCTCCCACGCCTTCTCCTTTCTCCCTTTCAGTGACTGTTCGTAGAGAGAGGGAAAAAAGACAGCGAGGGAAGAAAAGAGAAGGAGAAAGAAAGAAATAAAGAGATCAAGAGAGCAAGCTTCTCCATCCTTGCTTGACACAGCAGGAGAGGAAGTACGAATGCCGAAAACACATTAATCAAGCACAGAGAAGGTTTCCTCGCTCCTCTTGGTATTCTTCATATTTCATCCCTTCCATCAGCCGTTTCTTTTACCTCCTCTCTTCTCCTTTCTTCTGTCTGTTGTCACGTCTCCTTCTCTCTGCAGCAGCTACAAGACATCTCACACACACTAGCGACAAGACAAGCTTGTCCTCACCCTCCCTCAAGCTCCTCCCATCCCCTCTCCCTCTCTCCTCCCGCTCTCCCCCTTCATCCTCCTGCCATGTTTCCCGCCCAACCACCCCTTTACATGGAGCCCTACCCTAGTCGCATAGCACCCTCTAATTCCCATGGTTTATGTCTATCAGGTACGGGTGAGCAACACCTGCCTACCCTACCTGTTGATGTATTTTGCACTGCCCTACCCCACCCCCAGAAGCTCCAGGATTCCGCCAGTCAGCGTAAGGGGTGGATGCTAACTGATGAGCAACGGTTCCGAGGCGGACTGCTGTCGATGAAAACCGTTGAGAGGATTGACTAACTTAGTCATCTACTGCGATCTCAGTCAGTGATCGGGAGCCTCGGCTGCGGCTGACTGGACCTTGATGTCCGTCAGCCTAGTAGCGAGCAAACAAGATCGCCCGGGCCGCGGCCAGCAGCCAAGACTGACTATCCTCCTCGTCTCCGCATCGCCATACCTCCCCGCCGTCTCACTGAGCCTCTTGCTCAGCGGCAGCCTCGCGACTCAGGCCCGCCAACCTACAAGCCGCGGAGTCACTGCTCTATCTACACTACAACCCCCGGGTGCTGTATGAGCTCTGACAGTGTCTCGGGCAGGCTGACTACCGGTACCGCCTCATCGCCCCCCCGTGAGCAAGACCTCTGGGTGTCTCTCAGCTCCTCCAGCACACCCCGACATGCAAGACAAGAGGCCTACTATAGTACTACTGCAAGCCATATATCATTTGACTCATTTGACCAAATTGCCCACCTGACTTTTCCTTCGTGACTCAACTGAATTTAGGTTTGAAATAGACTAAAGTTAGTACCAAGAGACGTGGGGTTACCTGACCCGGCAACCAAAGAGAACGGCTACACTATGTGACTGTTCTGCTCGTTACTGAATGTTGTGAGACGCAGTAGAGTGAAACGAACTCTGATCGATCAAACATTCAAGATCCGGAGTTACACACTGTGTGAGCGAGTGCTCAGTGACCCGAGGAGCAGTAATGAGATCAGAGCCGGGGGCAGCTGAGAACCCCCTGATCAGCACACGATGACTCTTGGGACAAACGATGCTCGGCACGAACCAACTTGTCTCTTCGTCTAGGGTCGACGCACGGCGTCAGGTGACCGATGACAGCGTCTCACGCGGAAGAGTGGAAAGAAGGTGTTGCCAAGACAAACAAGAGTCCGAGCAAAGTGACTCTAGAGCAGATGAAAGAAGGTGTTGCCAGACAACAAGA